CCAAATTACTGTGTTGGTTTTTTTTTTAATTTTCTTATTATGTTATGTTTATCACCATACATTGCATCATTAGTTCTTGATGTAGTGTTCCATAATTCATTGTTTGCGTATAACACCCAGTGTTTGGTTTTAAATTTTAGCATATCCACTTAATGTAATATTTATGTCTATTTAAACCTGATTGATAGCAAGAATAAGAGAACCTCTCCCTTTTATGCTTCTAGAATTTGTATCTAGATATGCTTTAACAATATTATAGAGAAATGAATCACATGTTCTAACATTCAGTAGGACAACTTTTAGGATAAAATATGATAAATTATTTAAATGCAAATAAATACACATTACTCATAATGATAGTATGGATATCATAGATTAATTCTATTTTAAACCAGCTTATTGTGTTTTTGCCACATAACAAATCAAGAGTTCTCAAATCCATTCAAGTAAATTATCAAAATCCCTAAAACCTCATTATAATGTTTCTTATTTATCATATTTTACATCAAAGTTCCAGATAAGTCCATAATTTTTCCATTATTCTCAGTAGCCTGAATTTCAGAAGAGATGTTTAGATACTGTTCTAATTGTGTTCATATCAGATTCCAAAAAATAAACATGGACAAAAAGGGACTAATGAATGATCAATAACTTTGGGCTCCTCTGCACTGGTGGATGGGCAGGAAAAGTTAAATAATCAAGATAAGGTTATGGATGCTTGGAATGAGGAAATGAAAGAGAAACAGAAAGAGAAAATTGAGGAATGGGAAATATGGAATATGGAAATATGGAACGAAAACACAAGGACCAGACTAAAAAATATTTAGGCTTTAGTTCTTAGTCTAGTATCAATTACTGAGTGGTCCCAGGGAATAAAATTCTGTTCTCAGTAATTTAGTATCCTGATTTATAAAATGAGGGATAAAGACATTTTTTTAAAGATTTTATTTTTTTATTTGAGAGAGAAAGAGAGAGTGAACGAGAGAGCACAAGCAGGGGGAGTGGCAGAGGGAGAGGCAGCAGGCTCCTCACTGAGCAGGAAGTCCGATGGTGGGACTCCATCCTAGGACCCTGGGATCATGACCTGAGCCAAAGGCAGACACTTAACTGACTGAGCCACCCAGGTGCCCCAGGATAAAGATATTTTTTAGAACTTTCCAGATCTAAAGCAACCAGATCTACTGCAAACCTTTCCAAAGAAAACTTTCCTATTTCACAGAAATGAGAAGAAACAAAGCACTCTGTAGGTATACCAATAGTGTCTGTGTTTAAGTACTAAGTAGAGCTTGGTTCTCAGTGCCTTATGATCATTCATATCTAAATTTCTTACCCTTAATTACAAACATTTTTTTTTTAAAATACTCCTCCTTTATCAGACAGCCCTGGTGAAACAGACATATAAATAGTTCTTATAAATAATGAGGATGAAAATAGGAAGGAGGGAAGGAAGGAAGGGAGGGAGGGGATGACTTAGAGGGCTGACCCAAGAACCACAGAAGGAAGCCAAGAACCACAGAGAACCAATCCCAGGGAGAAGAACTGGGATCTGATCAAAGAATATTCTCTGCCCTTATTATAAGAGATCCTGACAACATTCAGCTGGATTTCAGAATCACAGTGGACCAGTGACAGCTGTATTCCCAGCCCTTAGGAATGGGAGAATCTTTTACAATTATTCTGTCCCTATCCCATGTGTACTGTGTGTGTAACAATAACTTATCTTTTAATTTTTAGTTGTCCAGGTCAAAAGGAACTTGAGCTATGAAGCTTCATTTACATCTGGACCTGATTTTTAATCGTGCTTTTCTGGACTTCAACATGATGCCATAATGGAATAAATATTTGGGAGGATGTGGGGTTTTGTGCATGAAGGAGGGACATTAATCATGAGAATCCAGAGTGGACTGTGGTATACTGTCACACTGGCTTTCAGGTATTCACTCCCTTGTAGAGTACCCCCTCATATACTCTTTATTTGGCCAATGAAAACCTCCCTCTAAAGGCAGCCATTGTACTGTAAAAAATCTTAGACCAGACTCTTAAATGATGAGACACCATATACAAAGAATTCTGGAAGACGAGAGGTCATCTTAGATATTCTAGCTCTGGTCAACCTCACAGCTGAATTCAGCTGCCTTAGTGACCTTTGCTTAAAGGAAAAGAACTACCCAGTTGAGCCTTGAGAAATCATAAATCAGTGTGGTTTTAAACTGGTAAGTTTTGGGTTCTTTCATCTCAATAACAATAGATAACTAAACCATAAGGTTTATTCCTATTTATCTCTACCACTTACCAAAGTGATTAACAGATAAGTAGGTACTCAAAAATGTTAATAGCTCAAATAAATTAAATGTACTAACAAAACAGATAAGAAGAAATGATACAAAGATACCGTTTTTTCTTCTCCAGTTAAATACCCACCCACCACCCCACACACGTATATATCTCACATTACATATGTGACCATATACTATTAGAGCTATGATTTTATTCGTATAAGTTCCACTTAATTGGCCATTTAGCTTACATGTAATTCAGAGATTTGGTTGTGAAATAAGTCGTTGACAGATGGCAATAGAGTCTGATAAAAATTATCATCAAAGGAAATAAAGAAGCATGCAAAACATCAGAAACAGACACTTAAATGAGTACTCTGAAATGGAGACTGGTGGTAGTGCAAGATACCTCTTTCAAAAAAATAAGGTCTACATCCACTCTGGCTTCCTCTGTGTTTGTAAATAGCAATTTGTTGTATTAAATTGGAACCAAGCAGATGCGTGTGTTTTTATTAGTTCTCCATATACTTTATCATGAGTTGATTAGAACCACTACTTTATTTATGGATAAGGAAACTGTGATTTCAAAGTTAATAAGCCATGGATTTAGAATTCAAGCTTAATTCTTCCAATTTCTGCCATCTACTACAAGGAAATGATGAACATTTATACTATACCCACCCTCTTATGTTTCTACAATCAAATAAATTAAAATAAAGATAACAAGCCACAAAAACAGATGAGTCTACCAGTAGCTCTACACAAGCTGATAATGATTATCATTTGTCTAAAATCATCCTTACCCAACAAATGAAAGAATTTTAAGACATATAAATAAGAATGAAATTCACAGAATAAACACTTTAAGAAAAAACATCTAGCCATCAATAACTGTCACTACCTCTTATTCTGTGATTAATACCATAAAAATACAAATATTCAGTAAAAGCTAATTACACAAGTCCTGAGAATTATTCTTTACATATTTTAAATTATTTTTTACCATATTTTTTTACCATATTTTTACCAATGAATGCCCAGCTTCTACCTAATTTCCCAAATGTGGTAAAACTACGTCATAGTATGTGTAATGTTTTATCCTCAGCTCTTATTATCCTCTTAATTCCACTAATTATTCACATATATTAATTTTTCTTTAGTTTATTTTCCAATGTATAGAAATGTTTTATAAAGCCTCCTCAAAGAATCATTTCTGACTATTCCATTCTAAATCTTTGTTATGGGTGAATAAAAATCCTGAATTCAATCTATATTGATAAACTTGAATGAAACATCTTTTAATAATTAAATAGTGGAGAAAAGCTGATTCATGCTTTATAAAAATTATACTACAGATTGTATGCAAATATTGATATTTTTAGACAACCAAACATAGTGAGTTTCAACATTCAAGAACCCAAGTGTTTTATAAATAGATAAAACCTTTAAAAATTCACAGGTATTTTTTATGACCCTTACATGTATACAAGTATGTTTTTTTCTGACTTTTCTTATTTGTTCTTATTTATCATTTTAAAGAACATGAATATAGCATCAACAAAGAAGTCAATAAATTCAATATACTACAGAAAACAAACTTATAAATCATCCACCATTAAGAGGGAAATATCTGTATTATGTTACTATTTATCAAGCCATAATTTTATTTCTATATTTGTGTTTTGATTACAAGTCCTAAATCCAAACACAATTGATGTATATTATCTTTGTGTAAAATGTTTAAATGTATAAATTTATTAGATTAATAAGTCCTCACAAAATGATTCACATAGAAAGAAAAAATCTTTGATCTTGAAAATTATAGGTATTTTAGTATCATAACAATGTGAAAGGTTTGGTTCTAAACTTAATTAGCATTGTGTTTTGTTAATATTTCCTGACAGATCTTACACAAATACTACTATTACAACAACTAAAAGGTAATTTGTTATATGGTGGGAAATTGTACTTACTAGTAGCAAAAGATAGGGGCACCTGGGTGGCACAGTCTGTTAAGCATCCAACTCTGGGTTTCTGCTCAGGTCGTGATCTCAGGGTCCAGGATCGTAACTGTTTCTCCTTCTCCCTTTGCCCCTCCCCACCGTGCATGTGTGCATGCACTCTCTCTCTCTCTCTCTCTCTCAAATAAATATTAAAAAAATAGTAGCAAAAGATAAATTAAGCTCTGACACAATCTCCAAACACATAATACCTGCATAAATTATCCTGTATGTTTGAAACATACATGTGAATTCCTCATTTATTTAAATACAACTTCATCTTATCTAGGTACTATTCCATTACTACAATTCAACATGAAAGAAAGAATTGTTTTCAAACTATCTTTAAATGCCACATTCTCTATAAGTCATCAAACATGAAAATTGAGCAAATGTCCATTTTGAATCCCTTTTGTTTTTTGTTACTGCTATTGATGTTGTTTTACTTTATAAAAATTAGGTGAATACAGTCATTCATATGGCTTAACTACTTTATTGAAGTCAATATGGAGGAACACTTGTCATGGTATACAACTTATTTTACATTTTCATGTACCCTTTCTAAGAGGAAAAATAATAAGAAACTATCTTATAGTTAATAATTTCTTCCACAATCAGTTCTGCCAGTAATAGCATTTGAGAATGTATTATTTGAAAATAAATGTTAAAACATTTACCTGTTTAAAATGTCATTTAAATGCATGATAAATTGAGAGTTTCTTACCATGACAAGAACCTTCGATTTCTTCATATCCTGTACTGCAGATACACCTTCCAAGGGGAACCAGCCAATCTCCATCAGCTCCACAATATAGTTTAGGAGTATCACGCTCTTCCGCACTCTTCACACAAGAGCCCCTTACTTCAACCAAAGAAGAAGAATCAACCCTTGGGATGGTGTCAGGAAACATAGCTAAGTTACGAACAGTGAAGGGGCACTTTTTGTAGAAAACACGGACCGAGACCAGGGCAATGCATGCCCCAATGTCTTGAAAAGCCAGATAAAATCCTTTCCTTTCTATAGGCCCCACCTCACGAATTTCCGTGTTAAGCTTCAGGATACGATCACCCAAATCCATCTGGGTAAAACTTTCATCAGCAGCAATTGTGTCAATCTTTGTATATTGGCTTGGCTTGAATTTAATTCCATGTGACTCATCTGATTCCACATAATACAGATTAAATGTTTCTTTGCAAGTCCCCAAAACCCATGGGATGCTGTTACAATCCCTCAATGTAAACTTCATTTCCACATAAATTTTCTGAGCTGCATCACGGGAGATCCAGTTCGTACGAAGCCAGTTGTTTTGGTTTGGTTCCATTACATTGCATACCTGGTACGTGTGAATGGGCCTATTGTGTTCATCCATTTCAGTGATAGCATCCCACTGCAAGAAGAAAAAAAATCAAATGATTATAAAACCACAGTGGTTAAACAGATATGATTACTTCCAAAATTTTGTTTTAGCAAAGAAATATAAATAAAAAGGATAGAAACAAAGCTATTCAAAGCAACAATGCAGGAGGATTTTAACCATGAACCTCTGGTTAAGAGTGTGGGTTCTGGACATAGCAACTGTCCTGGTATGAACCTTGCTTTACTACCTATTAGTTGTATGACCAAGGGCTACTTACTTTAACCTCTTGTTTCCTTAACTGTAAAATGAAGCTGATAATAATAGTACATGTTTCATAGGGTTGTTGTAAGGTATTTTACTTAATATATGTAAAGCAATGTAAATAGTTCCTGGTACACTATACAAATGTAAAATAGCATCCATTATATGATCAGAATAAATAGACTGATGACAAACACACTGTGGTTACCCACCTGCCATCATATCAAATAGGCCACAAACTGAGATATATTTAGCAGTATTCAATTAAATATTTACATGTCTATCTGACAGAAAATAGACAATAAATAAGGTCATAGATTTATGCAAGAAATATTTATGAGGCACTATTCTGGACACTTGGAATATAGTAGTGAACCAGCTGAACCCTGCTTTTATGGAGCTTACTTCGAGTGAAGAGAGAAGATAAAAACTGTAAATGAGTAAACTGAAAAATATGGTAGAAAGTACAATGGGAAAAATTAAGGCAGGGAGATGGAGAAGAGGGTTGCCACTTTAAATTGCGTGGCCAGAAAACGCCTTTCTGAGATGGTGACGTTTAAGCAATGTCATGGAGGTGAGAGAGTGAACCTTGTCGAGGAAATAGTACAAATACCCTTAGTCAGGAGTATACAGGTATATCTTAGGAACAGTATGAATGGGCACTGGAAGCACACTAGGTAACAGGACAGAAAGAGAAAGGACAAAAATAAAGCCTTTATAAAGAATTTTAAAAACTTTACTGAGCTGCATCATTGGATTATCTTCACTTCTACATGTTGACATTGAGCATTCTGCCATTTTATGCATATAAAACTTTGTTTATCCTTTTTCACAAATTTAATAATAATCTCTAAGTACCTTGAAATAAACTGGCATTGTCGGTATTTACATATCTAAATATTGATAATTCCAAATTATAAATAGAGAATGTAATTGTATTTTATTTGTATAGTAATAGTGATAATTTACAATAGATTTAAAAAAACATTCTGGTAATTTTATAGCCTTTTTGGGAAAACATGCCAGTCATCATAGTTTCTCATTTCTATTAAAGTGTCCTGGAAAAACTATTTTCTATAGTGATTAAGTATTTTATTTCTCAATACCATACTTCAGTGATTTATAAGATTATTTAACACATCCTGTTTGCAGTTTCTTACTTTAATTGGCTGTAGAATCACTTAATCAAGACTAGTTGAATTTCACTTAGCAGTTTCTAATAGAATGGCTACTTTCTTCAGTCTACAGGACAGTTATGACACTAACCACTTTCAGTATCTACTGTGTATTTCCATGAAGAAAGAATTTATGTTATCATGCAACCTTAAAAATAATCTGCTTCTAAAAATTTTGTTTATAAGTTGCTAACTTGAACTTCATAGGATGTTTTCCAGGAGAAACAGTAAGTTCCTTTGGGACTGTGGATGTAATTTTGCAAAACATCCTTGATAAACATAGGAGTTATCCAATAATCTCATGAAGATACATTCAATTACCCATCTAAATGTTTTTCATTCTAGTGATCATGGTCTTACACTTAAACTTAAGGCAAACCACTATCATAGCTCATCTTAAAGGCAAACTAACCATTCAGAATACAAGCAGTGAAGCAAGATGCACATAATAAAATCTGTAAACTACCAAAATCAGTATCCAAAATTCTAAGGATTTCACCCACTAGAGAACATCAGAGGTACTCAACCAAGGATTATTCCAATTTTAGAAAATTTTCTAATCAGAACTGATTTTGTTCCTCAGGAAATGCATGTAATTATTATGGTCTACACTGCATCCTCTACTCTCCCATATAGAAGTATGGAGCTATATTCTCAACAAATTCTGTTTGAATAATTATATTTTAACACCTTCACACTATACCCCTTCACATTAATAAGAAGTATTACCCATGCTTATCACAATCAATTCTCCCAAAATATCAGATTTAACTAAAATGTCAAAAATTGCCTCTTGTGACAAAAAAAAAATCCTGAAATCATTTCATATCTTTATTTAAAAATGTGTGGGTTTGGGGGAAAAATGTTTAGATGGAAAGAAAAGTCAGGAATGAGAACAATATAACATACACTCACTGAATCAAAAGGTATCTGAACCAAGGGATGAGGAAATGAAATGACAAAATATACACAAAGAATAAGAACTGTGGTTCTTCTCAAAGACACTCCATAAAGATTCTTAATAAAATGATGCATCATTTTCTGGGTTAAATTTGTGATATTCAATGGTCAATAGTGTTTCTTCTCAATGAAGGGGAGTAAGTCGGAGGGGGAGACGAACCATGAGAGACGATGGACTCTGAAAAACAAACTGAGGGTTCTAGAGGGGAGGGGGGGTGGGGGGATGGGTTAGCCTGGTGATGGGTATTAAAGAGGGCACATTCTGCGTGGAGCACTGGGTGTTATGCACAAACAATGAATCATGGAACACTACATCAAAAAAAAAAAGCATAAAGGAATCTTTGGAATGATGAAAAAAAATAATGTTTCTTCTCTCTAATTTTTATAAAGGAAGTCAGAATTAGATTTGGGTACCAAAATAGTTAAAACAGATCAGCTGTTAAATTTCACCTTATCCAAAAATATTGAAAGTAACTGAAATTAAATTTTTAAATTTTAATCTAATTAAAACAAGAATATAAATTCAATATTGGTATAAGATCTAGAAGACTATGAAGTTTGCTAAAAATATTAACATAAGCAGATGCAGAATTAGTTTGATATTTTAATTATAATATAGCCTTCAGAAATATTGCACATACACATAGTTATATCTTTGTTTACCCACTTATATAAACTTTTTGTTATAATTTTCAAGTATTAAAATAAGGTCTCTAAAATTGTGGAGTCCACAGTAAGAATGGGAATATGAGGGCTCACAGACCATATTTCTAAATACGTTAAAATGATAAATCATTCTTTAAATCAGATCAAATTTGGGGCACCTGGGTGGCTCAGTTGTTAAGCTGCTGCCTTCGGCTCAGGGCATGATCCCAAGTCCTGTGATCAAGCCCTGCATCGGGCTCCCTGCTCTGCGGGAAGCCTGCTTCTCCCTCTCCCACTCCCCATGCTTGTGTTCCCTCTCTCTCTGTGTCTCTCTCTGCCAAATAAATAAATAAAATCTTTAAAAAAAATAAATCAGATCAAATTCTAAATATGTTCTCTTTGTCTAAGTTGCAGATACATTCATAAAACATGGAAGGTCAGGTTCAAATTTAAAACACTGGGCCTTTGAAAAAACTAACTTTTGGGACTACATCAAAATAAAAAGCTTCTGCACAACAAAGGAAACAACCAACAAAACTAAAAGACAACCTACTGAATAGGAGAAGATATTTGCAAATGACATATATGTAAAAGGATTAGTAGCAAAAATATATTAAAAAATGCATCTCAACACCAAAAAAAATAATAATCCAAATAGGCAGAAGATATGAACAGACATTTCTCCAAAGAAGACATCCAAATAGCCAACAGGAACATGAAAAAATGCTCTGCATCACTCAGCATCAGGGAAATACAAATCAAAACCACAATGAGATACCACCTCATACCTGTCAGAATGGCTGAAATTAACAATACAAGAAACAACAGGTGTTGGTGAGGATGTGGAGAAAAGGGGAAATCTCATGCACTATTGGCAGGAATGCAAATTGGTGCAGCCACTGTGTAAAACAGTATGGAGGTTCCTCAAAAAATTAAAAAATAGAACTACTCTATGATCCAGTAATGTCATTACTGGGTATTTACCCAAAGAATACGAAACCCCTATGTTTATTGCAGCATTATTTACAACAATCAAATTAAAGAAGCAGCCCAAGTGTCTATCAATAGCTAAATGGATATAGATATGGTATATACATACAATGCTATATTATTCAGCCATAAGAAAGAATGAAATCTTTCCATTTGCAACAACATGAACAGAGCTGGAGAGTATAATGCTAAATGAAACAAGCCAGTCAGAGAAAGACAAATACCCTATCATTCCACTCATATGTGGAATCTAAGAAATAAAACAAATAAACCGCAGGGGGAAGGGGAAGAGAGCCAACTTAAAAACAGACTCTGAACTATAGAGAACAAACTGATGGTCACCAGAGGGGTGGTGAGTAGAGGGATGGGGGAAAAAAGTGAAGGGGATTAAGAATATTCTTAATCTTGATGAGCACTGAGTAATGTATGGAAATGTGGAATCACTATATTGAATACCTCAAACTAATATAACACTGTATGTTACCTACACTGGAATTAAAATTTTAAAATTTTAAATGTAAAATTTAAAAAATCAAATCGAATACTTGTCCTTTGAGTTCTATTTTAGCATGTGTAGCCCATAGAGAGACAGCCCTGAACCTTAGCCAATCCCACTTCTCTTTCCTTCCCTGACTCTAGCTCTACCCCATATCATGAAAGGCTTCACATATGCACGTATGAGCATCCCAGCCCTCATGTCCAAGCTGTGCCCCTCTCCTCCTACAAAAAGCTGTCAATTTTGGCCTTCTAATCAACCTAGGTTGAACATACCAGTGGCACAGTACACCCACTGGAGGATGGAGCCCAATAAGAAGCCATGAAGTTCTTACCAGTGAGATCATATGATACATGTCACTGATAGGAATTCTTAACTTCAGGAAACAAACTGAGGGTTGCTGGAGTGGTGGGGGGTGGGAAGGATGGGTGGCTGGGTGATAGACATCGGGGAGGGTATGTGCTATGGTGAATACTGTGAATTGTGTAAGACTGATGAATCAC